TTCATGCACAATTTAGTGTAAGAGTACATTTATCTTGTAAATGTTCATGTTAATGGAGGATAATATCCCACCGGTTTGGATTGATGATGTCGTAAAATATAGATCTCATCGCATATTCGGTTTAACGTTGCAAATTCATAGCTTAACGAAGGAAAAATGAGATGGGTCACAAAAGGAACAGCATCTGAACAGAACCATACAAATATCTCAAGAAATTTCTGATTCAGATGTCGATAATCCAGTTGATCCAGCAAGCTAAAGCCTGTGTCTAAAGCCTGTGCCTAAAGCCATTGTGTATTTTGATCGAAAATTGTCTGTTTCTGTTTTTTTTTCTTTTGTTTTCCCATTATCACTTCTTATTGTATTCTATTATATTAGAATGTTAAGTCCCACTTAGTTGTGTTCGTGTTTCGAAGCTATGTTCGTATTCCAAAAAAAATCATTTGTTCCCTAGTATGTTTGCTTTTCTCTTAGGGAAGAAAGAAGGGGAGGCAGAATGTTCGAACAAATCCGGCAAAACTTAGTCACTAGGGTAACTGAGGCTGGCTGTACAGATTACGGAGCGTAAGAAAGAAATTCCGTGTTCGAGTCCCGGAGCGCATCCGTTCCACTCAAGATGCAGCGCGTTCGATTATGTCATGTCCCATTTCGTGGAGCCATGCACACCCGCTTTCCGTCACCGAAGATATATTGCTACCATGACTTGACATTTGAAAAGAGGCAGCATTAAACAAAATAGTTACCCCCAGGCGCTGGCCATTGTGGGCTAAGAGAAACGCTGGATTTGATAATTGGAAGAAAAATTAGTTCGAGTTTCGTTGTTTTCCCCTTGGGAGAAAGCAACGAAAATCGAACGCTTCAGGAATAGTCAAACGCTTACACTAAAGGTATCAGCTACTTCTTGGTAATTGAACGCCATCTCTTAGTAATTTCTCCGTTTTATGAAACATGTTGTAATGCTAATTTCTCTCGAGATATCCTTATTGTAAGTACAAACATGAAATCTGAGCGCTCTCAGATGTTGGACATGAAACGATCGCGTTTCAGTTGTATGGTATTTTCATGAAAATTTCTACTGAACCAAGGGTTCAACACCATTTCACCTGGTGTGTGGGAGTTTCTTTAGGAATATGTTAATGGTAGGGGAAAATATTCCAACAGTTCAGACTGATAATTTCGTAAGATATAAACGCATGATTGGTTTAACGTTGCAAATTCACCGGTTGACGTGAGAGTCCAACAGTACGTTCGACTTGTTTATCCATGTACGCGATTGGCTCAGTAGGAATCAGCATGTGACTTCTCAGCAGCGAACAATATAGGTTATTTTTCACAGGAAAACAAGACAGATCTCAGGCATTAATGGCGATAATTACCATGATTTATTAATATCCCCGGCCTATTGTTTCTGTTTGGGTAAATACCCATGTTTTTGGCCAATTATGCTTTCGTTTTTGGCCACGCTGATGTGATCCCATGGGAAATGGACACTCCGTGCGCAAGCCGAGAAATACAAGTAATAGGTCCTCGTACGAGAAGATGTAGATAAAATGCTTGAAGACGACCAGATTAACTAATTATGCTGGATTTAAGCCTCACTGGCCAACAACTGGAGACCGGAGAGAAACTGAGGTGCTTGCCCTAGCTGGCGACTGCGAAAAGAAGATAATCCAAATTGCCCCTGGGGCTCCTGAAACCTTAATTGACTAAACCTTGATTTTGTAGTTGAGCACCCCCGGGGTCAGGATTAGCCCAAGAAGGTCATCTCTCCAGCAGGGGTAACCAAGCGGGGTGAGGATGATTCTAGTCTTCAGTTGAAAAGACTAATGCATAACCAGATGGTGCTCACTTGAACAACCACCTTATAGTGAGGAGAGCCTCCACAACCTTAAGAGAGCTATTCGAGCCTCCTAGGGAGGGAATGGAAACGGAGAGGTGAAAATGCGCCTCCAGATTCTTGCAAACTCCTCTTTCAACCATCGAACACTATACCCTCACCCTTATTGCTTGATGTATTCTCGGCTATTGATTCTGGATTCCGGATGTATTGATTCTCGGCTTTTCGCCGCCATGTACAATTACGAATGCCGCCTCCTACCGGCCACTTTGCCCCGCCTCGACCTAATCGAAATGTGTGGAAACTACAGAAGTGGTTGCAATAGAAAGAAACTCAGAACTTCTCGGTCTCTAGTGTTGGAAATCAGAATTTAGTGGAAGGCACTCCCCAATAGATTCGGCTGACTTGCCTCTTTTGTACGACGCATGAAAACTAGTGTTTCTTGAATCATTGAAAGTCAGGGCGATTCTACATTGTATTAGCAATCATAGTTTCCTGTGTGCATGGATGCAAATAAATAATCATTGCTTCATCAACTCGTCGTACAAAGTTAGGGGGTGGGACAATTTTTTACGAGAATGGCGTTATTTAACTTTTACAAGTTCTGTTTGAGGAAACTTCTGTTTCAGGAAATAAGGAAAGGAAGGAATTACCTGATTGCCGATACGTCTACTTGAGAATCACGCGACCGAGTGCTGCTCTGTCACTATAGACGTTGATAACATGAAGCTCCTCGCGTTCTTGATAAGAGAATTGGAATTCGAAGGAGGATAAAATGAAGTGGAAGACATGAACCCGACGGTTTTTTTATTATAAAATATATGGAATCAGATGTTTCAAGTGTTGGTGGGTCCAAATAAATCTGAGAACTATGTCTCGCTTTCATATTGGAAATGCAACTAACGTTAACAAGGACCATGAACTCATTTGGAATGTAGAAAATCTCAGTGCTTAATGTATGTGGAGACTAGAAATCCTTTTTTCATTAATTAGGACATTTCTGTATCTTTTTCCTAGGTGTGTAGACGAATATAGAAGCCGAATACAGGGAAGAATAGTTATGGAACATTGTCTTAGGCTTCACGTCAGGTATTCCATCGTCCTAACAACTTGCTAGGGATTTTGTTAAATATTGAGAAAAAATCAAATCAAGGATGTTCACGGTCATAGCTATCTTCAAGTAGACATCTCAACATAGACTTGAAGTACGTCGAGTATTTGACATCCAGGGATCAGAACATGTGACTGCACGAATTCCCAACCTGGTGCTTGGCATAGATCCTGCGTCGAATACAACTCGTATACCTTATCATGAGGGCAGCGCAAGATCATATTTGGTCTACGGCAGCTTGAAAGAATTTAACCGATTGATGCGATGTGGAGTAATGAAAAAGGAGGGAGACATGTATCTTCAATGATGGAAATAATTATCGAGCTCCTCTGGCGCCGCAGTGGATGCTCCATTGAATTACCGTGCGCACTGTTAAAGGTGGTGCGAATTCACTTGCAGAATAGTTTAGAACTATTCGATCATTTTTTGCCCTCGAACAGGTTCCACGAACTCTACAGGGTGTTCCAGAAGTCGAAAACCATATGTAAGTATTTAAAAACCGAATTGTACTTTTCCTTTGTTACAGGTTGATTAATTATGGCATTAACTAAGGACGAGCTGGTAGAGATTAATTTGTTGTGTGGGAGTGTAAATTATTGGGAATCATCAAGAATATTTCATGTGTCGACCGAGAACCATATTCCACACATCTGTAAGCAGAAACAGGATTGGATTCTGCATTATTCAAGATGATCAACATATCGAACCTATACTGTGATTAAATGCGATTGAACATTAGATAAAACTATTTCATGTCATATAGTCTATGGTGTGCGATTTCTGGAACACCCTTTAGAACCTTTTGAATTGGTTTCTGGCTTAGATATGGAACCATCTGAAATTCCACCGCTCCTATAGAATCTTATCAAAATGGTGTAATGTCAGGGTGGTAACTCCCCAGCAAATAAGCGAACATTCAATCAGCGTTGTATGAATGACAATTTTGAACCTTCCCACTGTTTGGGTGGTGTTGCATCTAACATGGAATCAATATTTCAATGTCGCTTATTCCTATATTCAGATGGATTTTTTAAGTTCAACAGTGGCGGAACGCTGGGCCAACGTTGTAATGTCGCTGATTGAAACGTTCACCCCCACCACACTACCGGATCAATAACGACACATATTGTAATGAATCTACACGTATTAGTAAGTTCCACTGGAGAGTCCACCCCTGCCATGCTTCATGAAGTATGCACGAGATCTAATACTTCTTTTCTTCTTCTGGCAATAGAATGATCACTCTGCACCCAGGGACATACAGCAGAGTAGAGCATTACTAGAGGCGACACTCAGAGGGGTAGGGGGGGGGGGTCGAAATATTAGAGACTTCCTGGTGGCTTGTTATCAAGAACACTTCCATGCGGCGCGCTTCGTGGCATGGGAATCGGGAATCGACTTGTTCGGGGATACGTCCAAAAGGAATCCCTAAACTTAATGCGCGTGCCTTGTTGCGTCCGCTGCTCGGCCATGGAGGAGTTCTTGATGTGCGCGCGCTTGGTGGAGGATCGACATTGATATCTCGTATAATACGACCTTGTTCTTAAATGCTTTTGGAGCGAAGTGTCGTCTCCAGGTATTTTCTCTGTTCTGCGAGATTGAGTGTTGTAATAAATGAGCAATGTTTGAGAGATTCAACAAAATCCATCAATTTACCAAGACTCCTTCAGCATGATGTAAATTGAACCATGCAAGGGGATCTCATAAGGAATATGAGCTTGTTTATCGCTTGGGCTCCTTGATTCTATCTCGAATATGGGGATATTAAACGATAAAATGTCCGATTTTATTGAGAGTTATATTGAGACTTGAAGAGACATAAGGCAAGGTACTACACACTCTTGTGAGGGATGAATCCATAGAAAAGGGAAGTGCACATCTGTGTACTGTGCGAAAAGTGAAACCCATTCTTCTATCTACGGGCCTGAAGAACATCAACATTTCCACAAAAATACTTCTACTTGCAACTTGGGCACAATTGATCTTCGTGTCAGTACGATATTTAATCGATGACAATATTGGGAAGCGAAATTGACAATATTGAAATATTTAGCTGAAATCGGCAATAGTGGCAAGATGACAACGTGCCCAATGCTGGTCCAGCACTGAGTCAATATCTGGTGCTACTGCGGTTGGGAGCAGATCGATGTTCAGGATAGGTTGGACATTCCTCAGCAAGCACAGACGCGTTCGATATCAGAGCTTCTTCCAAATAGCGATTCAACACTTCATGGCGCTTGGCAGTTTTCATCTCACGACACGTTCCTGGAATCCCTGATACATCATGTTGCTGAACGTCTAAGCAGATGCATTCCGTCAACTTTAGCAAGTAACAATGGATAGGTTCATAACAATGGGTAGAAATATTGATCTAGTAATGGAAGTTACAACCTCAAAAGGACTCCTACGGGAGATGATAATACTCACTAGAGTACTTCCCCTTGTCATGTTGTCTGATGAGCTCGTTTCGGAGATCTTCCATGCACAACTTCATTTATTCACCCGGCTTCGCATGCGCATTGAGTACAATAACTCTTATCAGTTGAGGAGTGGGTTAGACGTTAACATGATAAAAACCAATTATTCTCATTTCCCATCATGAGCGTTACTATATGCAAGTGCTTTCAGATTAAATGTAATATAAGATGTGATTGTTTCCGCATAAGTGACAATTTTTTGCGAAATAGCGATATTTTACCTTGGACATGTTCTTGGACAATTTTCATCCTTGGGAACGATTTAGCGAGTAACCAGCTCACAAATGAATTTCCGAAAGTCTGGATGCATTCAAGCTTTTCCAAGATCAAAAGTTAGCATGTTTATCAATTTTTGAATCGCAGCAGCTTAATATAGTATTCTGAAGTCAAGCTAGGAGCCAGTCGTTTAAGGATGAATGTTAAGTTGAAAGAGCTTATATTAGCCAGTAATTGAAAGTTTTCATTTCTAAAATTACCATGGTTCACTCCGAAATGTGAATTTGAATCTAATGGCAGCTGCTCATGGTTCTTGGATCTTCTCGATAATGTCACTGCGATCCATTTCTCTCAGAGTTTCGATTATATGTCCATACTGATCGTCAGCTCTTTCTCCGAGGAGTACTTCGAATATTGCTTCTATTTTGTCCCTGTAGGCTTTCTTCCCTCTTATCTCTCTTTCATCTATAACAGACAAGACCCTTCTTCTTGCAAGAATGTCGACGAAGCGGTCCAAGTTGATGATGACTTGCGTGTCTTTCAATACGTCCTTAGCTCGTCTCAGGTCCTCCAGGTGATCGACATTTGCAGCCCTGTGAAAGTTTAATTGTCCAATATTTGTATGCATTTCCATGTTTCATACATGGTGGCGCAAAAGTCGCGCACCATATGAAATTTCACTGATGCACTCTATTATTTTTTATTTCTCTATTTCGAGGTAAGTGATGTCTGCAAATTGTAGAAAGTCGAGAGAGTGAAATGAAGAAATGTTAATAAATGGTCAAGCATTATGTGTACAGCGATGAAGAAGTGCTTGCATGCTAATGGTCGACAATTCAAACATTTGCTGTAATTTACCCCATGGTATGCGACTATTGCGACACCCTGGACATTACTGGTAATATATTTTCGATACGAACTCGCAAAGAAAGAGAAATTATGAAGCCTATTCAAAAGCACAATTCATTATGTACATGAGGAAAATAATAACCATCAGGAAGTCTCATTTCAAATGCATTTGTTCTTTGAAACCAATCCAAGAATTGCTATTGAATAGCATTACGCTGTGAACAAATTTTGTAGCTTTGGGACGAGAAAAAATCAAGAAGCTAGATGATCCACAGCGGCTTTTATGAAGCACCAAAAGAATGCGCTTTTTTAGCTTTCCGATATTAAAGACTATAGATTCTCATCATGTTCTGATTTGGATAACCACGTGCCGCAGATTACTTGTTCCTCGTGAATAAAATCCTTGCCTTTTACTGAGGAGAATATCCGTACCTTGCAATTGGCGATCGGGAAGACCGATTTTGGATTCGCTCGCCCATCCTAAACCTTGTCTAGAAAGTGGGTGAGTGTCGTTCCGCCGAGAACTTATTTCAAACCTGAAAATATAGAAAAATATTGAGGTTGTTTCAAAATTGCAGCTAGACAAACCTTGTTGATCCTTCATATTTAACATTGTTGAAACAATGTACTGTGCAAACCAATTTAATTTGCTAGAACGTGGCGTTTTTTTGTATACGTTGACGACGTCGACCGAACACGTACGGTTTCCTCTATAAATGGTTTCAAGGCGAATGGCAGGAAAGTCTACTAAGACTTCCAGTGGTCTTTAATTACTAGATGGAGGTACCAACCCTTTTCATGCCATTCCTAATTATCATTTTTGCTTTTAAAGTGCGATATTGATAAACACTCCTAGTTGTATCGAGGAGGAAGAATGATAGAGAGAGCGATAGTTCATAACAAGGACTATTAAGGACTTTGATCCGAACGCATTTACTGATATAAGTGGCAGGGTTTATCATGCACTTCAAATAAACATTTCAATCCTCGGAGTATTTTATTTCTTAGGCCGGCATGTTCGAACGAAAGAAAAAAGGAAATAAGACAACCATGATCAATTTACTGGAGCAGGTTGAGTCTTGAAGATTTCAAAATGCATGATGCACCAAATATGGGCGATGATCATTAAGTCCTTCATTTTTAACTAACTTTTACCAGCTCTTAACAAACGTGAATGAGGAAAATCTTGGAACTATAGGGAATGAAAATGTCATGAGAAAGGACACTTTCAAGTCAAACATATTGCACAATTCGGATTGCTCGCATAAAACCTCCATACATGTGAAAATATATTTCGCATAATTCCGGTTAGGCAAATGGCACACAGGGGCCTCGGGTCTATATAATTTTACTACATTATTTTCCCTCGTGTGTAGCAGTTCATAGGCTTCAAAGGGCGCACAACAGCATGGAAATATATGGAGAGAGTTTAAACAAAAGCAAAATCAGTTTCATGAGTCATGCTATTTCAAGCGTTATCTGTGCTTGTATGCATTCCCTGTGAATAAAGACTGTGATTTCTGTGATTTCCTGCACTACAACGTCTTCACTATCTCTTTTCAAGGTGCGAACACTCCTAGATTGTTGTTTGCGATGCCAAATTAATGCTGTAAAACTACCAACGTCTTGATTCCGTGGAATTCTCTTGCCGATAGGACGCGTTTCTTTCACTTGAGAGTGAGAATAGATTCTCAGTGATGTCGGTTCCCTTTTAACTTTTTGAGGACCGAGTTTATGCACCATTCGGGAACATGGACGTACCTGTACGTTCACTGTCCTCAAAGGGTTAATCATCACCATATGCATGTGCTTTTATCAAAGTTTTATATTTTATGGGAGGTTCTGATGAGCCTAGTCAACAAAAGCAATAATGTTCGTTCTCCTTAGTCTTAAGCCTTTGGGGACGCAATCCTGCATCATTGTAACTTCCTTCTTGTATCGTTTTCTGCTTTTTGACTTTCCTTTGCTTCACGTAATGTCATTGAGAAGGTCTTATTAAAAACGTCAATATCTAATATATATAGACGATCGTGACTGACTGAATGACTGACGATAATTCTAACCATGCTCCAGAAGAGTTAGAAATCTGAAACTTGGTACACATGTACCTTTTGGGGTGCAGAGTTCAGAAAAAATCCGACTTTGGAGGTTCATGCCCTGGGGTACAAATTTTGGGGGAAGAAGTTTTTTAAAAATATATATCGTGATGGATAAGGATGTCATCGAAAGCAACCGCTGTGTGTCTCCGTTTCGGTGGTGTAGTGGTAGTACATCGGACCGGTAATCGGGAGACCAGAGTTCAATTCACGGCCATACCCTTGCCTTTTTTTGGCTTCTCTAGCCTTCCATGTCCCGTTGGACATGGAAAGCGTAAACGTGGCATGGACGTGCATACCGACACGATGAGATAAGGAAAAATGCAAAAATTTTTATCCATCCCCTGGGGTCATGGGGGGCATGGATCCAGCAAAACGGAGGGTGCAGGAAAGTTTAAACTTGGCAAAGAAGTACCTGATGAGTAGCTGAGTAAAGAAACAATTCTACTTTCATCTAATATATAGACGATCGTGACTGACTGATATAAGTAGCTATTCACTTGCTGAGTTCAGGAAAAATTCCACTTGGGTGATACACGCCATAGGGGCACACCTTTTCGGGGAACATNACATTCATGATTGAGATGATTTTGCTTTTAAATGAACTGGGTTGTAATAATTGTTCATGAAATTCCGAGAACTTTCTTTCCAATCAGATACCAAGATAAGGAGTTAAAGAAAAATGTTATGTCTTGATACATCCCCGTCTGAAAATTTCTCGAGGGGCGATGTATAAAAGAAAAGAAATTGTCGTGGCGAATTAGACAGAAATGGAAAGGTGAAACTTGGCACATGTATAGGTGACGTGATATTATTGACTTGAGGGAGTATTCAGCTTTCATGGTGCATTCCCTCCGGGCATAGCTATTGAGTGGGTCGGCATTAACAAACATGATTTTTCACCAGCGAAAAGGGCAAACGTGTAAGATTGACACTTGGTGGGCACGTAGTTCACTGAGGTTTGATTTAGGGGAAAATGGTACTTTCCGGTTAAAAGGCCGGTTATGTTGCAAATTTTCCTGAATTTTCTGATCCAGCAAAACGGAGGGTGCTAGAAAGTTTAAACTTCGCAAAGAAGTACCTGATGACTAGCTGAGTAAAGACATAATTCTACTTTCGTATTATATATAGACGATCGTGACTGACTGATATAAGTAGCGATTCACATGCTGAGTTCAGGGAAAATTCCACTTGTGTGATACACGCCATAGGGGCACACCTTTTCGGGAACATATTTTTTTAAATACAGTAGTTCTCTTTGCTTCAAACAAACGGAGACCCATGGAAAGCTGTAACATGGCAAGAACGTGACTGGTGAAGCACTCAGCTCAAATGTCAAATTTCCAAAATATTTTTAGGGGGCATATTTCTTGGGGACGTAACGTTTTCAAAGAATTTCTAATATCCTAGCGAATCGGGCAGAAATAGAAAAATAGCAGCTGTCACACGCATAACGGACGTGATGTTGATTTAAGGAAAAATTCAACATTTGCTGAGCGTTTCCCCAGAGCACAGCTTTTGGATTGGTTGCTTTTCCAAATACATCTTTTATCGTCAGCAAAAAGGGGAAACGTATAAGTTTGAAACTGGGTAGCATGGAGTTCCCTGAGTCTACATTTTAAAATAATAATAATAATTCGTTAACACCATTGGTGCACTTTTTTCAGTCCCACTTTCCTAATTTTTTTTTTTGATCCAACGAAACAGAGGCAGGAAATTTAAATTTCCCTTAGAAGTACCAGTTTGATGGCTGAGTAGAGGAGAAATCGTAATTTTGAAATATGTATCCTTAGCGTAGATTATTGGAGGGAAGTTTTTCAAAATGTATTCTTTTTCCTGATTTTTTTTTGATCCAACGAAACAGAGACAGGAAATTTAAGCTTCCCTCAGAAGTACCTGTTTGATGGCTGAGTAGAGGAGAAATCGTAATTTTGAAATATGTATCCTTAGCGTAGATAATTGGAGGGAAGTTTTTCAAAATGTATTCTCCACCCTTACAAAAAGGGACACAAGATAAGATTTCAAGTTAGGAACACAGAATCATAGAGGTAATGATTTTGATGGAAAAAAGCAAGACATTCGACCCCATATGTCATATATGTCAATGGGGACGTACTTTTAATAGGTGTTTCCCATTTCGCAAAAAATGAATGAATTAATCACTATCCAAGGTAAGGGAGCGCCGAAGGCGCGACCATAGCGAGTTTGTTTGTCCGACGGGCAAACAAACTCGCTAGTATGTATATATCTATGGGTCAATATACAGCTTCTGGGTTCAAAGGTTAGGCATTTTCTGTTGCCTTTTGGGTAGTTTCAGACAATTTCAGTACCAAATAACTTCTCTTACTCTATCTTGCACCTTGGTTGGAGGCAGTTTACTTCCCAGCCAGGTAATTTCCTATTTAGCCAATATCTTTCTTTAATATTAGGTTCATTACTATTTATTTATGAATATATTTTATATGTCTTGTTTTTTTTTCTAATTTATACTTTCGATACATCTAAAAGGTTTTTCCTGGACTTAAGCCAGAACTTGTCGTCTGAACTACTCATATAATCCCCCATTGTGGCCATGACAGACACAGAAAATGCGGGTATTTCTGGTGTGGCTCACACATTTTCCATATATGTGCCATGCTAGAATATTTGGTCTTAGAAGCGACAATGCTTTCATATGTTGTCTTGAACTCATATGTCACGCATAGCTTGAGAGAAATTTATTGCCTGGGTGCAAGAAAATGGAGAACATTCCAGGATGATTTATGCCACTCATGTGCCATGATCGCATGTCCGGGCTCATATGCTTGGCCCTCGCTTACGACAGAAATCTTGTGAAGATAAGCAATTCCTGGCCTAAAGACAAATTGTCGGCAGGGGTGCATGCAATGCTGCCCTATCAAAAAACATCATGAGATTCTCATATGTGAACCGCATGAGATTTTTATATGTGAATTTGGCCTGGAGGATCTTATTAATTTCATGAGACTCATGAGGATTCACAATGATGTTCTCATGAGAATGGTTATGAGACTCATAGATGCTCAGATTGTTCTGGTGACATCTGCTCCAGAGATTTTGCAAAAAATTGTGAAGTTTCAAGAATGACATGTATGTGGAATTATCAAGTTGTGTGGAATAGAAATCACATGTATGGAATCCAAGATGACCTATCAGATTTTGAGACGATAAAGTCCTGCAATTTATGTGGGATTGCGGTTAAGGTCGCAAGGTCATGAAAATTTCCTGAGATATTTCTCATCTGGATACTGTAAGGGTGATAAACGAATCCAAATGATATCCCGTTGGAAAATGCTCTACCAAAATATCTCACATAGGTAAAGGTTAGAATATAGTGCAAGAGTGGCCAAGAAATACCATTACTCAGACTCATTTAAATGCTACATGAGTTGAACACTTTCCTGAATGAAAAGGGAAGTAGAAACCTTAGGCTGTGAAAGAGGTCAATTTTTGTTAAATGAAGAGAGGAGATGGATGGGTACAGACAGTTTTAGATGAATACCATTACATTTTATACGGCTGCTACTTCTCTTAAATCCTTTCATTGAATACATCCAGAAATATATTAGGCCTTGTACTTCCATATTTCCTCAAATTTCAACTCAATCTCACCAAAAAAATTGAATGCCTGAGGGTCGAGAGACAGGGGAACCAACCCATGGCAAGTATGAGCTATGGGAGACATCTCAACAAGCAATATGCTAGGTCCAGGCCTAACCTCTATTTCTTTACAGTATATTTCAACTCAACCTCACCGTACCAAAGTAATCATTCATTGTCAAAACAAGGGAAAACCAAGTCAAGGGAAATATGAATTACATGGGTTGAGGCAGCATGCAATATTCTAATGCAGCATTGCATTTTTGCATATTTCCATTCGCAACCACATTTAAATGATTATGATTTATAATGGAGAGAGAATCACGATGTCATAGACGAGATACGACTTTGAAAAACATCCAGCATAGAATATGTTAGGTGTATCCCATGTTTAATAAATTTGAATTGAAAAATGACTGGAAAGAGATTGAGGTGAAGCAGGCCCATGCCTATTCTGTATGGAATCTCTTCAGAGCTCTCATATCTGAAGTCTTTCATACTACTGACCAAGGGATGGTTAGTTTTCAGTTAGGCCTATCTCCTAACATGGAAAAAATGAATGAAGGGGTGGGCAAGGAGGGTACTGATGACATGATGAACTACATTTATGCATCCTACATGAAGGCATTCTCACGTTATGAGCTCAGGATATCATGAGCCAAGCTTCATTGGGGAAAAGACTCTCCGAAGAGCGTATCGAACGCTTTAGGGTGCATTTGTCGTCGAGGCTACTCGCCTTTTGCAAGCTATGCCTAGCTTTTTGCAACTAAATATTATGGACGAGCTTTATAAGAGGCTCACGTGGCCTGTGATGTGAGGAGAGGTGAACGTTAAACGAACGTACAACTAATCCGTCTAGATCTACCGCATCTAAAGCCGAAGGTACTCAAACAGTCACGGTATAACTATTATGGAAACCTAGCGTTGGTACCTTTGATAGTCTTACCTTTACCAAAAATAGGCCTGAGCTAAGACCGATCGAAGTCTACGGGATCATACTGTGGTAATCCTTGATGAAGCCCTGAACGATCACATTACATCAAATGATACACTTTGAAAGTCAGAGGACCATGAGGAGGCTTAAACTAAGTCTACGTTAGTTTATATTACTACAGCTGACATTCCACTCATGCCACACTTGAACACTGGCTTCTAGGGAGAAACATGGCGTCAACAGTGGGGACGTTCCTGTTCGTAGCAATGCGCGCGCATGCGTCCATTGCTTTGTGCTTCAACTTGAATGATGAAAGTAGCCAATTGTTTCGATGCCTCTATTAGTGCTATGGGATGTTATATGGTGCATGTTGAAGCGTTGTTAATACGTACTTTCATATAGACATATTCATGGACGTAACATGGTTCAAAGTGCAGGTAGGGGCGTAAATTCCAGACGGGTTATTAGCATGGAACGGAGAACTTAATTTCTTGTTTCCACTATGAAGAGGGAGAGGGAACGTCCCTATTACTGATATTTTGCGTAGGAGGAATTGTCAGTGACTCGAGACGTGCGCAGTATTATGGCAATTGAACCAATAGAAGTGTGGTGGGGGGGAGGGGGGACGAGAATGGACAAGGAATTTGGGGGGAAAGTAATGGAATTGACAAAAATGCCTGACCAATAGCAGGGAGGTTCGAGCCCCCTATGGCGGGCGCTGCTGGATTTAAGCTATAGTTCTCTTTATTCCAAAGAGCATCGGACTGAAAGGAAATCATGGGATCTCCAGAAACCCCATGATCATACACGATGAGCCTCAAAGTCTCGTGTGTCATATGAGAACTCACAAGATCTCATAACGCATCTGAACTATACGTTTGGAAACCCACGAGGCCTTAGAAGTATCTCATGAGAACTCAAATTCCTTATGTGAACCTAGCGAGAATCGCATGAGATCTCATGAGGAATTTTTTTCAGCTTGGTAATTAGACGGATCAAAAGTAATTGTTGTTATGAAATGCTCAAGCTAGAGAACCCTCGTTCTTCATGTCCCAATCAGATGTCCCATATTGACAGTTTAGTTTCACCTCAGACTAGGTCTGATGACTCTAAGGAAACTGGAGGAGGGGAAAGTAAATTTCAACCCTCGCAAACTTATTTTAGAAAATGAAATGAGTTTGAATTATTCATACACTTCCATACTCCATGAGCAACAGGAAAATCAAACGTATCAGGCTCTGTCTTATCGAAACCACGGCTTAGCCACTAGCGTTATGAACTTAACGAAATTCACAAAGTTTTGATAATCCCGCCAATTAAATGACGTATTTCAATTTCTCTCTTGAATAGCCAAAGTGTAAATCTTAACTTATTCATGGAATTGGTGAACCATGGAATTGGTGAACCGGTATGCCGAACATATCACGTTAAATCCTGACATTAAACACTAGCATAACTTAGGCATGACGTTCCCCCATGGTGTTACATGTTTGTGTTTAAAATTAATTGCAGCATGCACAAAATACCGCAGCATATTGATACCATTAGGTGTCACCTTTCCGTTATAATATTTAGAGCGTATTCTCTCAACGATTTGTCATAGAAGTCTGCATGAGAGAGTGCCAAAAAACTGCGTACTTTTCCAAGCACAACTACATTTCCCGAGCATGTGCACAGAATGTTCATGGAACCAATCTGATGCATGAAGAAAATTGCCCTTCATGGGATGCGTTTTAAACGCATCACATGGAGGACACATTTTTCACGCCCAAAATGCATAAATTCGAATATGTGGGCGTGTCCTGCATGTAATGCATTTCGGCCTCGTTCTCAGTACCATACACACTCTACGTTTCTCCAGGGAGGGGAGGGGGTGCAGCAATTCCATCTGAAAACAATGGAATTTCCCTCGTCAGAACAGATCTGCTGGTCTCCAACAGAAAGAGCACAAGTTTCGATCCATATACTTCCCTTGACTGTGTTGTCTCTGAAATCTCCCAGTTACGCCGGCTCAGTTGAGTAAATGATGCGTGTTCTGAGAGGTACTTGAACATTGTATCCATCAGGTGTTTTTTCACACTCCCTAGAAAGAAATACTGCATTTGTTTCAGATGACTGTTTAAAGGCCATGAAGAAGATTGATATTTTCTGATATTTCTGATATCTGATATTTTCTTAAAACGCTCAATGAGAAAATTTGAAGTTGAATATCTTAATAGAGGCGTTGATTAAGATAGAGATGACGCGGAAGTATCTATTGATTCAAAGTGATAGGCTATGAAGACTCTAACGTCAGATAACCTATTGTGGAATTATCATGGGCTTTTAAGCTTGAAAGCTTAGTCTATCTGATGGGCATTGAACCACCAATACACGAAACCAAACACAAGTACAATAAAAACTGAACTCGAAAAATGGAGAAAGCGATCGCATTGGAATCCTTAAAAGACGCACGAGCTAATAACACGGGTGGAGGGAAAGGGATAGAGCGAAGAGTCCATGATGTCACGCACTTGCTTGTGAGTCTCTCAGCAGCCAGTGCATTGCCCTGCGAGCTAATGAAGGGGTTTCTTTGACACGATGCAGTGGAAGACGGAGGTTGACATGCGTCTAAACGATGCAAGGCCATTCAAATCCCACCTCTCGACTCGATTATGGAAGAATTTCGCTTTCACAGACGCCTTTTAGACGGTCTGGCATGGTCGGAAAGAGACTGACATGAATCCAATTTTCATATTGATACCTTTGTTCTGGAAATAAATTAATCGAAGTTGGAAATTGACCACAGTGAATCTTTTCGATTGAGCAATTTCTCTGAGCATAGGAGACTCTGAGAAAAATGAGTGAAAGAAGGAAGAGAAATAAATAAAGAGAACACACGGTTATCCTGCCCAGGGAATGTGGGATACAGGGTTTTGAAGTATGTTCACTGTAGACCTTGAACAGGAGGAGAATGGCTTATCTTGTGAGGTTTTTCGTTATCTTATCCAACCTGAGCCATGACCATATGTGTTATCTAAGGTAACAATACTGATTCGCATTATAAAAAATGCTCCCATGTCCTATGACACCGGATGGAGGAGGGGACGGTAGATACCGCACATACATGTTGTAATGCGCCATCTCATTATTTTCAGTTTCGTTTTCATTTTAAGAAGGCCTCTTATGTGGTGCAGTTTGCTCTTGTCTAGTTTTTTTGGCTTTTGACATAGCATGGCAGAGAAGGCTCCTGCTCAAGCTTCAATGTTAAATTTATATTACGGAAACAGCAAACAGCAATTAACATTGACATTCATAGCTTTTACCTGACCAAAGGGATCCCATTATTCCGTAAGGTTATACCGCAGCGTCATTAGCAATTAACTCGGGCATTGTTTAATGCTCTGTCATCAAATCCCTTTCCTGTAAGTCATTCCTGATATCGTTCTAATACCGAATAATATCCCCCAGTTAGTAAACTAGCTGCAAAATATAGGCGAACTGAAGTGAAGGGAATAAAAAACGCTCCCACACAAGCACAAACTCACAAAAATGTACACCTCATCTTTTTTCACCACACAGCTTCTTGCGAATAATCCATAGAGGGAGGGAGGAGGGAGAGAGAGTGCCCTCTTCCACGGGGAAGAGGGTACTTCCTTTTTCCACGAAGTCTAGCGGGATCTTCCGTGGAATGTTCATACACACGTCAGGGATGACTCACAACAACGACGATTCATTCGCTATCATTACTCGCTCCCTGAAACCTTGTTAGTTCGAGTTAATGCCGCATGACAAAGTTTAGCTCAATAATTGTATAATCCTTTTTAGCTTTTAAAGTTTTAACTTCATTTTAAAATTTACTTAATTGTGCACCGATTGGATGGAGCCCATAGGCATTTACATTTTACTACTTAATATGTATCAATTAGCATCCATAATGTTGTTTGATACATATTGATACATATCGCGACGGGAAACATCTTCCATTGCACAATTTCTCGCGAATATAAGGAGAACGTACATCCGAGCAAGCTTTGTCCTCGGAAGGAATAAATCCTCGGATTCTAAAGAAGCAGCTGGAAAATTCTCAGGGCTCTGTATTCAGCGGTTTGTATGCTAGAGCATCAACAGACGCACAGATAGACGGAATGACAAACGGACATACCATCGAGTGCTATTTTCTGTGCTCCTCAATAGCTATTATGTAGTGTTTGAGTGGCCTTTGGTCCCTGAGAGCGGGGCAACACTGTGGGGAGTGCCGGCATGGCTGGAAGCCAGGAAAGGGACAGCGGAAGGCCTGCTGCGGGGGTTTTGCGGAGAGCGGGTCGGCTCGGCGAGGGTCGTGGTGCAGCCTCGTTGCAATGATCTGGCCGGGACCGGATTTGGAACCCCGTTATTGCGTTTTCGCCTTACTGGATCAGGCTGGAGCCCCTTCCCAACGCGTCTCACTGATTGGAGTGTGATGGGACTGTGATGTGACTGTGATTGGATTGTGATTGTTTCTCCCCACCTGCACGCCGGTGCCTTGCCGTTTCTTCATCTGTATTTTATTTCCTTTTATATTTTATATCCTATTGGCCTTGAGTGTATTGGCTTGTTTTTCTGTGGGATTGTGTTGTTACCCCCCCTTGAGTGGCCCCTTTTACTATTTATCTTTTATAGGCCTAAGCTTTATTTTCTTTTATAAGAAAAGGCTCCTTTGAAAGGTTTAAATAGATATCATCAGGCTTAGAGAGGGACTGTCCTTTTATTGAACCACGTCCTCGGTGCAAGTGAGATTCCAACGACACCTGAAATGGGCCACCCACATGGGTTGGCTGGGTAGGCGTCACAATTAAGAGCTCTGTATAGGGCTGATGTGAGTTCTTATCTATTGCGAGAGAGAAGTAAAAAAAACAAGGGGCACTCTCGACCCGATATTAAGCCTTCTCGCAAGCTCCTGTTCGCATATTTATTT